AAATTGAAAATCTGAAGTCAAAACTAAATAAAAATAAAAACTAATGAAAATTGCAAAACTATTAAAACCCTGGTCCAGATGAACAGAATCAACTTTTTGGAGATTTACTTTCCTGGATGATTGAGAATGCATCAAAAGGTTTAGAAGATATTTGTCACTATTTTCAGGTTCATGTACTTAAAAAGTGGTGCTGCACAAAGTAAATCTAAAGTATTTTAATGATATGCCTAAATTATTGACTCATTAATGTGCACATCGGTTTAATGTGGCAGCTGGACAGGAGTTTAATCACCGATACCCTGCTGAAATGCTTTATATATAATAACACAGCATCATATATTAGTAGATTTACAATCTAAAATCAGCATATTATATCATATCAGTCTGATCTAGATGTTGGGTAATGCAAGCTTAACAGCACTCTGGTCTGATAGCATTCGTGGTGTCACAATCATATTGGAGTGTGGCTGTTACCGCCCAATGCCCCCTTCCCTTTATCGAAATATAAACCAGCTAGCCCCCGCTCGCCAATTTTTGGCACTGCCGAGGTTAGCTGAGCTCAGTAACCCACTCTTAAAGAACCGTTAAAGTGTCACCAAACGTATTAAGTTCAGATGAATAAGTCGGTCTCTACCGACTGGTTGGAGAAAAGCGTGGAAATCAACTAGAGCCAGCCGTTCACCGCCAATACGACGGTAAACTTGCCCCTCAAGTCAGCGGTTTCTGTAAAGCTACTTATTCAGACAACTAACCCAACATTTATAAATGTTATTAATTAGTTACACAGCGACTAAACGTAAAAAAGGAACAAAAAAAAAAAGGCGAACAGATTTTGAGTGATTAAATTTCAGAAGCTACGACTGATGAATATTTATCATTTATTCAATCTCGACAAATAATTATCAAAACTGATTAATTCCCCGCTGATCCAGAAAAGGAAGCGAGGGCTCTCGTGTGGAGCTGCAGCTATTATTCTTATTGATGATAAACCAGCTGGTTTTCAGGTAATTAATGAATCCTTGTAAACTCCGATAGATCTTTCACAGAGTCAGAGACGACCACGTCAAACTGCTTCTTTTTAAAACAAATATATTAGCGCTCTAAAATCCAAAAGGGTTTGAATTGAGAAAGATTTTTAAAAAGAGATCAAATTGTGCTTGACAATTAACATCCTGAAAACTGAAAAAACTGAAAAAAGTGACATTTTTGATTATTTTATTTTGTTTGAAATTCAAAAATATTAACACGTACATAAGTATTAAAAGTACTGCATTGATAAGTATTGAGAAGTTTGAAATTCTCCCTAGATCTGGCCACTTGACCAGTCCGAGCGATTGGGGGAGAAGGACCTTTTCAACAGCACTCCACCAATCAGGCCTGTTTGGTAGAGTGGCGAGACTGAAGGTTACCCGAAGGGCTTTAAGACCATGAGAATCAAAATACTCTGGTCTGATGAATCAAACATCGAACCCCTGGCCTGAATGCCAAGCATCACATCTGGAGGAAACTAAGCAATACTTTTGCTCAGTACTTTTTTAAACTGTGTGACGAATTCTCTTTAAGAGAGAACCGACATCACACCAGGCATCAAACCCACCGAAACCAGCTCAACCAGCTGGTCAGTGTCGCCTGTCTTCAATATCATCAACAATATCCCCCGAAAACTGCCATTAATACCAGCATCAGAGCATTTATTCATCACAAGCATGAAGAATCGTCATTTAGTCAAAAAGCTGCAGTAGTCTTCTTCACAGTACAGCCACGCAAGAAAACACATTTTATTGGATGTAAATGACATGTAATAGTCCCCACGCAGCTGGAAATGTACCTTGTGACACCTCATTTCTCATCCCGCCTTTGTTCAGCGTTTTGTGTAGGTGGTCTGAACCGAAAACTCTGATCACTAATGTATTCTGCGGTGGTACAAAGACTCTCTAATACACTGAAGCAAACCTATCCAAAGGTCTGCGTGTGTGACAGTTTTCCACCAGGAGTTTGTGCACGGGAAAAGCCTGTCAGCATCACTCAGTCACGTCAAGCAGAGACACTATGCTTGTCTCCAGGCGTTATATTGCGCATTTAATCTCTATCACTCAGCAAGTAAAGAGCCTCGGGGTGTTTTACAGAGAGTAAAACATTCTGATAACCCAGAGGTATCGTGAATGACTGTGTGTGTGAGTGTGTGTTCCTCTCAGCTTTGATACAAACAGAAAGCAATCTTTTTTCTGTCAGAGGTGTTGGGCGGCGCACGCCTCCCGCCAAGCTTACCCTGAGGAAGGAATCGAGCGCTCCGTTCTCCATGAATTCGGTGATGATGAGGACGGGGCAGCTTCGCGTCAGGACGCCCTCCAGACGGATCACGTTGGGATGGTCGAACTGACCCATGATGGAGGCCTCGGCGAGGAAGTCCCGCCTCTGGCGCTCGGTGTAGCCGGCTTTCAGCGTCTTGATCGCCACCACCATCTCCCTGCGCCCGGCCTGCTTGAGACGCCCGCGGCAAACCTCGCCAAATTCACCTGGAGCGAGGAGAACGAGGTGGCGAGAGGAGGGGTGGGGGGTGATGGAGGTGGGCAGGGGTTGAGTGAGCAGAGGAATGAACGGGGAGGAGGGGTGGCGGGAAAGAGAGCGTCAGGGAGAGTGCGGGGAGAGGAAGCGTTACTGGTCGGACTCGGGAGTGAGTTGAGGGTCGACTTCGACTGTGGGAGAGAATTAGAAAAGAGAAGACGGGGGTCGCTAGTGGGGTCAGGGGTCGAAGATGTTGGGGAGAGAGGGAGTGACTGGTATAGATCGAGTGTGCAACCTGGGAGGGGTGCAGGGAGACAGAGGGTGGGCGAGGTACTTGAGGGTTTTGCATTTGGTGCCTGAGTACGAATGTTTACAAGGGAAGGAAAGACAGAGAAGACAGGAAGGTTGAACGAGCGGGAGCAGACTGTCATTTGAGGTGAAGTTAGGACACAACATGCTGCTGGAAAGACAAGAAAGAAAGAAATAAAGGAAGGAGGGGCGGAGAGCTACAGAGAAGTCCTTCCCACCCACAGCTCTCATGTGCACTCTGAATCCTAACCTTGCTCTCCCACAGAGGACTCTCTAACAGAGCAGAGCCCGGCCTTGATGGCATACTCTTGCTCAAATAAATGTTTAATAAAGGTAAATTATTCTGTCCACTCGGACGAAAAACAGCAGGGTTCTTTACCTGCGCCGATGACTTCTTCTATTTTTACACAGGAGATGTCTATTTCTTTGGCAAACTCGTGGACTGCGTCATTGGGGTCCTCGTAGGTGAAAGGGTCGATGTACACTTTGACCCCCGGAGAAACTAGAAAATAGAGAAAAATGGAAAAAATCTGCATCTTTAATGTCGTTCATATGAGTTCCTCTGTTAAAAGCGAAGCTTTGAATACGGCAACGGCTGAATAATACGAGTGAAATCAACGCTGCAGTATAAATAAGACATGTTCCTAGCTATGCTGTGTTTGAACCACGGATAGCAAAGCCAGACGATGAATCCACACTGATTTATCTCAACAACTTTGTGGCGAACTGCTATGAGATTCAGCAGAGACATTCATGTAATGAAAAGGATAAACCGTAATCCTAAAGATCGGTCCGACTTTTCATCTGATGCACGAGTGGACATTTTTTTACAGAGTGGCCACATATTGAATAAGTGAATCGAAATATGGCTACAGTGAGAAGATTTCAAACATACAAAAACAGAACATAAGAAAAATCCACTTAATTCCTACATGAACATTTACACTGATGTAGGAAATCGTAGGCATCTGCCCACATGTGAGTTAATCCCAGGATCAGGTCAAAATTTAAGGCCTAATCGTGTAATTTCCTTCTCGACACATACAAGGTTTTAATAATCACGCCACATGTTATTTTCAGAGACCTTATAGAGCCATCCTGAGAGCACTTCTCTCTCAGACTGAAGGTTTGCTTGTGGTTCCTACGGTATTTAAAAGAAGATTGGGAGGCAGAGCCACCACCACCGCATCCACCGCTCAGCATTTAATAATTAGCTGTTATTCATCTCTGGCTCTCTTCCACAGCGTGTCTTTTATCCTGTTTTCCTCCACTCATTCCCAACTGGTCATGGCAGATGTATGCTGGACATTTTCTTCCTTTTAAAAGGGAGTTTTTCCTTCCCACAGTTGCCAAGTGCTGGCTCATAGGGCATCATAGGATTTGGGGGGTCTTTACTTTATAATATAAAGCACCTTGAGGCGACTGCTGTTGTGATTTGGTAAAATTGAATCACCGAGTTTAGTTTATAATAACTGCAAGTGACACTATTGTGCTCAGACAGAGACTCGCAGCACAGCAGTAGATTCTTAGTCCTGTTCTCCCACTGATAGCGCTTTGATTAAGATCTGTGCAGTGAGGCTGATGTTTTGCATTAGAATCTATCAAACCTATCAAAACAAAATATAGTTAACTAACAATTCATTTTGCTTTATTTTTGGCCTTCAAATCACAGCATCCAGTCCGCAGGCAGACAGAAAAGTGGAGAACTTAAATCACATTGGGGAGCTTGCAATTCATGCCATGTGTGTCTCAGGGGGAAAAAATAGAAACCAAACAAATGACTTTCCGCAGACTGAAATTTCATCAAGCAAAGACCTCGGAAAAATGTTGCATTAACAAATATTTTACATTTCAGTGTGTGGGCAGCCCCTCCTCGTCCAGTGTGGAATTATTTCCCGCTGCGCACGTATCTACTTCAACTGATGATCTGTGTGCTCGGACCTCCTCCGAGACAGCAGGGAAATGTTTTCCTGCCTCAAACGGGTGATTGGATAATTGATTGAATCAGTGGGCTAACTGTGCTGGCATGAGCAAAAGTAGCTCAGAGGAGACGGTTTCCGAGCTCAGCACAGAAACTTACTGTATTGTTGCAGTTTCTCAGTGTACTCCAGCTCTGACCCGCTGCGCTGCTTCCTGTAAACAAGAAGCACATGAGAAAAGTCACATTGACATAATCAGCCCTGGCCAGCTTTCCAGGTACAGTGAATCAAGCTAACGTCTAACTCCGCTATCAGATAATCACAGGCTGAGGAGGAAACTCCTGGCAGCACATCTGCTTTGTCTTTTCTTTGTTTCCCCTCTTTCGGAGCTGATTTGTAGCGGCTAACAGTTAACACCCTCTGAGAGCGTGTTAAAATTTAATGAGCGTCTTTGTTCCAAGTCTAACATACAAAGTGAAAACATGTAGTTCAGCCTGTCGGTAATGAAAATCAAACACTTACTTAAGGCAGACAACAGCGATAACCACCAAGGCAACAATGACCACCAGACCTGCGGACGCCGAGCCGATGATGAGAGGCAGCTGGTCCTGCACGGACTTCTGAGGGTCACCTGGGCCACGGAGACACACAAATGAATGCATAACAGCAGAGAGATTAAAGGGTGGCTCGCGCTGCATGCATAATGGCTACCAATTAGGGCAGCCATAAAAACTATCAAGTCTGAACCCTCATTAAGAGAACCGCTGCAGCACATCATCAGGAACAGACGGTAAAGTGGGAGAGAACGAGTCCGTACTGTGGAGGCTGGTGCTGAAGTCCATGGGGTTGCTGTAGCGTCCATACCCAGCAACAGTGCGTGCTCTGACCTGCACCACGTAGGGCGTGGCAGCCCGCAGCCCCTCCACCTTGGCTGAGCTGTGCTGGGAAGTTACAGTGTGTGACATTGCCTGGCCCTGAAAGAAAAACATAAATATTAAATGTTAGAGCAGCAGGGTTATGTGTGTCCATCGTTCTATCCTCGCTTAGCTTCACAAACTAATATCATACTTTGAAAAAATGGCGTCATAATCTTCTTCTTAAGGATTAAAGGATGAATTCATTATTCGTGGATGTGCCAGTCCTTCTTTTTATTCTAACAGACTAACAAGTTTTGCTCTTGCTGCTTTCTTTAGTCTATTACAGGCGTGGCAAACATACGGCACGGGGGCCAGAATTGGCCCGGCGAAGACTCCGATCCGGTCCGCTGGAGAATGTGAAGGAGGACATACACACTGTGGACTTTTAACTCATACATTTCATGGCTTGTAAAATGAGTTTGACATCCCTGGTCTGACCAGCTGGTTTATTATTATTAATATATGAGCCATTGCTAGCTGAAGATTGGCAATTTTCTTCTAGCTTTAGTGTTATAGACCGTTTTACAGTTTGTAAACAGTGATTACGTACGCAGTAAAAGAGTCTGTAGTTCTTTTTAGTATATAACATCATCCTGGAAGTGTCGCTTGTGACCACAGTACTTGGTGTTTAACAAAAATTGCAGTTATGTTTTAAATTCAGACGATAAGAGTTCTTTAAAACAAATACAGCTGAAGATGAACTCATAAAGAAAGAATCAAACCTGTGCTGATATGCGGTGTAGCAGGAGTAGGTCTTAAAATTTTAAAATGACTTAGCATTTTCCTCCCCTGGCTCCTTTATCTGAAAGTCAGCAGATTTTTTTTTTTTTATTGGACTTTTTCTGTGAGACGACTGAAATACGGTCTGCAGTTAATGCAAGCTTTAGTGGTAGTCACGTTTTGTACTACAACATAGAAAAATCCAAGTTAATACCCCTCTTGTGTATTCTGAAACTGCAACCAACCCAAGCCAACACAGAGGAGCCAAAAAACTACAGCTTCTTTAACGGCCACTTGAGCCTTGCTCTAAAAGTGACTCAATCCCCATAGACACCCATGTTAAAATGTCCAACTTTACAGCATTAAAAACACATGTTTACAGCCTGGCATTAAAAAAAAAAACAGTTTGGGCCTCTGTGGATAGTTTCCCTCTTTGTTATAACTGTATCCACCGAATACGGGAGTTGCATTAATACAGTTTATAGACGCAGCTGCTGAACAAGCTTGTTAGTGTTTGCACTGTTAGCACTGTTAGAACTATGGCATCTAAATATTGAGATTTTGGAGACACATGACCTCTAACTACTTGACTAACCTGACTGTCATTTGGACAATGCAGGGTCAAGCGAACAAGTCCCAGTCACGCAGGCCTACAGGCTGGTCAATGACAAACACTTGTGTATGACTGGGTGGAAAAAGCCTCCTTGTGATTTCTTTGGTCACTACTATGTTGCTGCAGTCGTAGTTAGAAATTGAAGCGACAGACATGTGTACAAACACTGTCCAACTACTCTCTGAGCTGTAGTGAGACTGTGAAAAGAGCAACACAACACATAGACAGCAAAAAATGCAAATTGCAGGCTGCACTGATGAAGCACAACTTTTACCTAAAAAGTGAAAAGTTTTTTGTGATTTGCATCGTGCTTTTTCTTGTTTTACTGCTGCTGTTAATGATTAAAGCAATTGCTAGAAGATTTTTTGTGAAGTATCTTCTTTTCAATCGATTTCAACCTTCAGGACAGGGGCGCCACCAAGGGTGGTTTCAGGGGGGGACACTGGTCATCCTCCCACAATTCTCCTGTCTGTTCAGGAAGGCTGCTGGCATATTTTTCCATATATTTTTTTGGTTGTTGTATCACATCCAGGGTTTGGGTGTGACGCATTGGAAAGTAATACTTTAAGCTTGATTTAGATTTCTGTGGGAAATCTTCATCCTATCTTACAACATGACTGGAAGCCCCTCTTAACACTTAACCTTCCACATAACTTTTCTCCCAAGAAATTTAACTACATGCCAGGTCAAAGCTGCCCGGAAAGACTATGTTTCAGTCAGAAATCTACGTCAGTTAGTGTTCAGAGAAGAGGAAACTAGAGGTTTACAGCTGTTGAGGACTGAACATATGGGCATTAATTTTATTTTTTATTGCATGAAGCGACAACATCGTGATGGTGAAATGCAAACTGTAACCCAGACAGCAACAAACGCTAACACAACATCGACTCCTTGGAAGCGTGTGCACAGAGAGTAAGCTAACACAAAGCTAGCCAAGAACCCATAATGACGTTAAAGCTGAGTAAGTGCTGATCACAGCCCAGCAGCCAGACCCTGAACTTCAACAGGTAACAAAGGCGATGATGAGCAGTCGGGTTTCCAGCACTCTAGCCTTGATATCTCCTTATAGATAATTCTAAAGTAGCAATTGTGGAGATCCCTTTAAAGTCTCTTAGGGTTAGGTTTCAACTTTGCTTTGTGGTGTTAGTTTTTTGTTCATGCATAAAAACTAATAGAAAGTTAATGTCTCTTCATTAGGATGGGGATTTGTGTTGCTGTGTGGAGGTGTAGCCTCGGGTTTTTATGTGGTAATTATGTGATAATGCATTTTAGGTTATTACATGGATTAATGTAGCAGGTTTAAGTAGTGTAACAAATTACTTTCTACAACAAGTAATTAGATAGCACAAAGCATTACTTTTAAGAAATGTAATGAGTCATGAGTAATACACTACTACCCCAACATGTACCGGCATAGCCCTAAAGAATGTAGCCTCATGGGCAGTGTAACCCAGTTGTAAGTGAGCTATTAAGACTCGACTGTATGCTGTGTTCGTGTTTTTCTGCGAAACAATAAGTTCCATTGGAGCAGCCTTTCAACGCCTCTCTCTTGCTAGAAAGTATATCCGGACAACAAAGTAAAGCTAGTTTTCGGCTACGAGCCCGACACGGAACCCGACGTATTAGCCAGAGGTCCCTTTACTACGGTTCGGAGCCGCGGACCTTTTTTATATACGCGCGGAATAGTTTTCAATACAAGATCGCAGCAAAAAGTGCAGCCTTACCTAATGTCCACCCTACTGTTACTCATTTTATATCAAGATTTAAAAATCTAGTTGGTATTGGTATGACAAGTAACCTTCAGTAATAGTACTAAACCACACAGCAATAGTACATTCATGTAGTTGCAAAAAGCTTGATAATATATAAAGTAATCCAAAGTATTCAGAATACGTTACTTTCATTGAGGAACGTAACGGAATACGTTACAAAATACATTCTGGGGCATGTATTCTGTATTCTGTAACCTGTAGTGGAATACATTTTAAAAGTAACCTTCCCAACACGTTCAATATGGCGGATAATTTTGGACAAAACAACAGCATGACAGCAGCTAACACACTTAAGCTATGTGTGCTCCACAAAATATGGCTACTGTGGCTAATGGTGCTACTATTAACAAACTAGCTATTGCTAGCAAACGCCACGGATGAAGTTCACAGCTCTAACTGAGCTTCTGTTACAATACAGTTTAGTATTTACTCTAACTGAAGGGAGAAGGCAGTGTTCAGCATTAGCACAGAAAAAAAAATAAAAGCTGCACTTTAGAAATGACACTTTTAAATCACAGATTTAGTTTATTGATGCACAGCAGCTGACTAAGTAATATGCTAACTATGGCTAACACTCCTAGCACCTACTGGATCCTTTTTTTTAACTAAAGATTTATTTCTATGCATATTAAAGTTCTGAAGCGCAATCATTTCTACATTCAGAGCCGTCCAGAAAAATATTGGACCTGCCTCAACTTTTCCCACAATTGAATGTGAAGTCATCCAGCAAAGCTAATCAAATACATGCAAATCACTTTGTGTACATGAATGGAGTAATTCTAACATTTGCATGACAATTGCAGAGATGGAGGTTTAAACGACAGAGAGATGATGCTGCTGTGAAATATTCATGAAATTCTCCCTGTCAGGCTTAGAAACGCTCCGTGGTGTTTTTGCCTGTAAAGCTTTAAAAATAATGGGCCTGGTACCAAACGCTGGACTTAGCAGAGCCATTGCAGAGCTTTATTCTTTTAATATAGGGGTGGCAGTATACTCGAATGTTTAGCCATCCGAGTTTATAAAATGGCCCTAGGGAATTTGATCAATGCAAGCGATGCAGCATCTCCACAACCAGTTGCTGAGTTTGCATAAACGCTTATAATATAAACGTCCATCTCCATCGCAGCATTACACCAGTGTCCAAAATATGATCTTGGTCAGAGTAAATAAGACACCCACTATGACCTACATAAGGCAGCAGCTATAAAGGCAGAGCTTACCCTCTCGTGGTATTTAATCTCATAGTCCAGGATGACTCCATTGGGTTTCTCCGGGGGCAGCCACGACAGGCTGAGCGTGTCTGAGGTGGAGCGCATTAGATGGACAGTTGGCACTGCTGAAGGTGCTGTGGGTGGACATCAGAGAGAACAGTATATTATTACACTGGTACTGGAAAGTGTGTTCATATCCAAGTTGGCGGGTCCTCACAGTAAGTTGCCAAGATTTTTCCTCTTCTGAAGTCACAAACCATCCAAGTAAGATAATTATTATTCAAAATTCTTCAACCTGAACGGTTAAAGAACAGAGCGACGCGATTCACCTTCACCGCTCTGCAGTTTATTGATTTGTGAGGCCTGAAGAAGACTCAACTGACAGCCATTGTCCTGGGCCCATAAACTGCAGTAAGGTGGATTAAGTGCAGGTTAACTGGGAAAGTAATTACAGCGTGTGAAAAGCGCTGAGCAGTTTGGTTGATGATGACACTGCAAATATTAAGTGGAGATGCTGAAAGGTGACATTGGCAGTGATGTAACGTAAGACGCCTGGTTGACAGTGGGCTGAATGCTGACGCTGGCGATATAGTGTGTACATTTTACATTTTATCTGCCTTTTCCTGTAACACCCTCAGAAAGGCTGAGCTCCTGCTCAGTCTGTCCATCTGTCGCTTTCAATGAGCTTGTTCAGCAATGTTTACTCTTGGTGTTAGCACCGCTCTGTATCCTAAAAGCTCATTAAGACACTCATAGACATTGACTGAACGTGGGATTCACTAACCAGCCTGTTTCATCGTGATGCTAAGTGGTATTGATTGGAGCTTCTCTATGAATGAACTTGTGGAAACATCCAGTGTCACTGACAGATGTTCTACTAACCGGCTTGGTTGGTGGTGATGTTGACGATGGAGTATCTGGGTGGGGTTGTGTTTTTCCCGGAAACCCCGTTGACAGCTTGCACCTCGAAGCTGTAGCGGGTGTGAGCCTGCAGGTTCCTCACCACCACCTTCCTCTGCCTCAGCCCCAGCCGGCGTGGAGCGATGTCCACGTTGTCGTCGCAGCGCGTGCACGGGCTCCGGTCTCGGAGGCATTTCTTGCACACGACGTTATAGACGAGGTCACTCCGCCCACCCGTGTCCTCGGGCTCCTCCCACTCCAAGGACAGAGAGGTCTCGTTCACGCTGGATATGACGTTGCGAGGCGCCGAGGGGATCGCTGCACAAACACAGACGCGCACGTAGGTGTTAAAACAGGTGGGCAGGCAGAGAATAAAAACACACAGTGAGGCTTTAGTCATGCTCCCTATGCAATGCTGGCATTATCCTCCCCAGTGGTGTAAAAATCCTTTAATATCTCAGGAAGAAGATGTGCTGCTAAGTCTACTGAAACAGACAACATGTTAAGAGAACAGGATTGAGAAAAGGGTGCGATTCATAATTAAATCAACACAAGCAGAAAACCAGCAGCCCGGTAGTCCATTCCTATGTATAACCACTCTCGGTGCTTATGGAACTTAGCTAATCTACTCTTGATAGAAATTCATGTTCTCGTGCCAGCATGACCCAAGGCCACCGCAATTCAATAAGCAGTGCTACGTTTTTGAGTCAAGAGCCTTTGAAACCTGGATAAATATGATAAACTAGGAGGGAGGCAACACAGATTGGTTCAACAGACGTGCTTTTCATCCTGTTACAGGGAGAGAAGAGAAGCTCTCTGCCTCTAAGCTTCCAGCAGCAGAAAGTCTAACCTGTCTCACAGCAGAAAGAGAGCGAAGGGGGGGGGCTCTCTCAAGCTATCAGCTCTGAAACCGCCTGTCCACGGACTTCAGCTTCTCAGCCGGCTCGCCCTGAGCTGGGTTTCACTCACCCTGTCCTTTCTAATTAGGCAGGCACAGTTCAGAGTGGAGGCTCTTTTAATTGGACACCCATCTAAAACACACGCTGAGTCCAAGCTGCCGGCCATTGACTGGCCGAGCCTCTCTTGTGCAACGCGCACAGCTTCCAACACAAAGCGCAGGCTGCCTGGCACAAGCCCTGACAGACCGCAGGGACAGAACTGTCAGGCCTGTGTGTTTGTGTGTGTTTGTGTGTGTTTGTGTGTGTTTGCATGTTTAGTCGAAGGCGGTGTTTGTGTCCCTGCCTGCCTGTCTGCACACACTGGTCGGTGTCAGAGTCCACAGTGTTCCTGTGACGAGGATCTGGGGGAGACAGTTGCGAGCCGTGTGTGTCACTTAACGTAGCGAAAGGCCCCCGGGGCCTGACTTTACACGGTCAAGGCAGCACATGTCGCTCTCCATTAGCACGACTGGGGCTGCGGCTCCTCTCCGAGGCCCTTCCATGCAGAACGGGCACCGACACCGCGGTCAGCACCAGACCCGATTAGTTACCACCGAACTACCGTTAAATTTGAAACGCTGACAGACGCGTGTTTGCCATTTTAAAGTCAAACTGAGTTTTGAGCATTGTGTATTCGGCTTCGCAGCCTAGAAAGAGAAAATGTTTGACATTTGAGAGCCCTGACGATTTTACTGACGCGTTACCAAGTGGAGCTTTTTATCGACCTGTAGATTGTTGACACATTCTTTTTTCATAATTTCAGCTCATAACATAATGTTACTTTACTATTCTACTACATTGCTACCAAGGTAGGCCCACCTGCTGCTACTTTCCACTCAGAAAGTGAGTTGGTCCTGTTATTATTTCAATTTTAATGAGGGAGAACTGAATAAAGATCGTCCCCACTAACTTGAATACATATTGCTTGCCTGGTGCATAAAGAAGAGCCCCAAAAGTAAACCAGCTTCCAGCTCCCGTTCCATTTGTGTTTCCCCCAATGGCTCCGCCCTTATGCTCCCACTCCAACTAGGAAGACTTTGTGGTCACATGACTGCTAACCATGCGATGTTAAATAATCTGCCATTTAAGACATGTGAAAAACCCAGTCTAACATTCCTATTAAACCAGCAACCATCTTGGCGAATGGTTGCTGGAAGGCGCTGTGAAACTGATAACATCTCAGTCACACGGGATTAGAGACCGTTCAATGACCCCCTGAACCATTGATCACTAGGAAAAATGTCTTCCTCAAGCAGCTGGTGAAAACCTCTAGGCGAATGCTTTGGTCACTAGCAGACTGCTGCAGTCACCTTTAGTTTGCATAGAGGACGCCAACTTGTGTCCTATTTCCAAAGCAGCATTTAAAACGGTGACAAATGCAACGTGAAACAGAAGCTGTTTACCTTCAAAGTAAAAGTTGCACCTTTTAAAAGGCCTCAGCTGCAACGCTGAGCACAACTTTTACTCTGATGATGATGATGAACGTTCTTCTGTTTCTGGTTAACACTGAACTTTTCAATGCCTTCCATGTAAACTACGAGCGGCCGCAGCAAGCTGCTGGCGACTGACTTAAGCAAGCATAAGGAGGATTTTGGTGCAGCATCAATGTTTGCAACTTGAGATTTTACTCATCGACTGCCAGCAGCATCCAGGAACCACCTCACTATCGGTCAGTAAATATATGTTTTTCTCCTCCTGACTGGTGGTTGTATCGCGCACAGCACAGTGGACAACTCCTCTGCGTCACGAGAATCTGAACACACTGCAGTTGAGCAGCAATTAAAATCCTCTTTCCGTGCCAGTGGAAGATTTAAAAAACAAAGAATATGTTTCTCAGATTTTTAAAAATCTTGTCACAAAGCAGGGTGTTGCGCTGTAACCAGGTCTCTTGATGTAATCATGTTTGAAACCCAGCACTGGGATTTGTCATGAAGGCAGAACAAGCCCTAGCACTGGGTGATAGAGGCGGTTCGGTTAAGGAAAAATGCAACCCGACAGGTTGCCAAAGTGTTTGCTGGAGGTTGCTGGCTGCTGCTAAGTGAAACCAGCGCTGCAACCGGAAGTGGTTATCATGGGAGACCCCGAGTTGTCTGCAAACAACCTGCAGCTTGATCAGGTTTGGCTGCAGGAAACTGGCAAAACCTTTAACTGGCTTCACCATTTCTCTTTCTGCTGTGGTGATAACCGCCAACTAAAACCAAACACAATCACGTGATTTGAGAAAAAAACATGTTAACATAGTCCAGTACTACAATCATGACAAATCGACACTGAAGTGTGCAGACAAGCCGTGCAGTTTCGTGTGCCGTTCTGCTAAAACAGAACCCAAAAATGTAATAATTTCAAGCAGCATCAATCTAAAAAGTGACAGAGTGTGCAGAAGCACACAGCAGCGAAAACGGCAAAATCCTAGCATCTTCCCCCAAGCTGGTTTTAAGCCTATTTACATACATTGTTCCAATGAAGTGACACTTTCATCAGAGTGAAAGATTTACACCCCACGGGGAGCACTAGTGTATTGGGCACAATCGCTACTTCTCTTTTTGGTATGAACAGATTAAAATGAAGCCCCTACAAACAAGTCACAACGAGCGCCAAAGATATTCCAAATTCAGACTATTTTTCCAGTCTGTGCAGCGGAGAGTGACTTACTGGTGCAGGCGGAGTCAGGGGGGTCACTGTCAGCGCGGTAGAAGCCATTCTGGCACGGGCAGATACTGGCTCCTCGTGCACTGGTGCGACTGTTGGCTGGGCAGGGAGCGCAAAATCCCTCTCCGAATTTGGATTTGAAGGTCCCGGGGATGCACGCTGGATGAGTGGGCGAGAAAAAATGAAAAGGACAATAAGAACAAAAGCAAAAAAAATATATAGATCTATCTAAATAAATAAATAAAGGAACAAAAAAAACAAAAACATGGTGGGCTGTCACTTATCTACAAGACCAGCGGCTGTCACATCTGTCAGAGAACAAAGTACCTGTGAAGTAGCAGCAAAGCTCAATATTTATGGAGGAAGCGCTGATACGTACGTGAGAAATGACGAACACTTAAGCACGAGGGCTTATCTATACATTTGCATCTGCTCTTTCATTTTCACTCTCTCGGCTAGGTGACATTAATCTCCCTAAAAAGAGAGTCGGGATGACAGCAAAGTTTCATGTTGAAGAGGAGGAAAAAGGGAGGATAAAGATGAAGACCGACTGCTGACAGGAGATTGCTGTTGTCAGACAAACAGGGATGGAGAATGCTTCTGAGAAAAGGGATACACCCTAAACCCATCAATCAGTGTCTGCTCAGTCCTCAGTTCTCCGAATCCGCGCCGCGGAATACAAACAAGGCCTCCACGCGCGTGTGGAACGGCTCCGTAATAAGCCAATAAATCAATCCGAATGATCAGAGCAGACGAGCGGAGTTATTAGGAAAGCATACGAAAAGTACGGTTATCTCACACGATGTGTCCAAAGCGATTCGTTTGAATTCCAGAGCGTCACGCTGAAGGTTGCGTGAGATCAAGTCTTAAGAATAAAACCAGCATAAGCCGAGACTAAAGAAGGATTCAGATAAAGGGGATTAGCAGCAAAAGGTCCGGATATATCAGCCCCCCCTTGTTTTACTGTTTGCCACATTCCTAACCGGTGCTGTAAAAGTGGCGGTCTCTGGCAAACATCTGTCGTGTCAGCATGAGGGCTCCGACAGGAGGGAGAGGCTGTGATTAACTAGTTGGGTTAAGTGGTCTCTCGTTTTGAACTCAAGTTCCACCCTAATTCCCCAACAATGACACTTTTAGGAAAAATCAGCGCAGCTAATGACACCGCAACGGCGCTGTGCAATAAAAAGCCAAAGACAAGACGAAAATGTGTGTTTTTTTTTTAACTTTCACAATCCGAAGAGACCTTAAGGCTCTACAGTCTGTGATCTGATTTATTCTTTTTCACGTTAAGGGCTGCATTGTCATCTTCTCTTATTTGTTTGTTTTCCCCCACTCCTTTTCGAGAGGGTGCTGAATCACCCGGCGCTCTTTTCTCCAATCCATTAACCTCTTTGGAGGGCACCGTGATTTTCCAGTTTTTGATACACTTAATGTTTCCCCTCTCCCCGCTCTTATTGTGCCTCATCCCCCTCTCCTTTTCTCTTCTTCGCCTCCTCCTCCTCTCCATCTCATCCCGTGTTTGGCTGTGAGCGAGAGGCAAGACTGAGGTAAGAAATGAAATGTCTGAGTGATTAATGTTAGCGTGGCAGTGTTGGCTCACGTTGGTCTGAATGGTGTTAATGAGTGTGGCCGCCTGTAGATTAACTAACAGGAGGCCGCGGAGGAAATTACACTTCCTCATCACAACCGCTGGCTGAGGCCCTGGAGAGCTTTTTATCAGGCGCTGGCGGCAAGCTTTTAACCTTGAGCAGCCAAATGGCAACGAATGAGCTCTCAGCCAATGTTAGACACCATTTCTCACACCCAGGTGAGAGGAAGCCTTGCTTGTCTGTCTTTGACTTCCCTGCACCTTCCCTCCCTTTTCATTTTCTGTCCCGTTTTCTTTTTTTTGGGGCACATTCAACCCTTTTTACTGTACATCGTGCTATCTCCCTTTTCTCTGTTAATATCTCTCTTCTCCGGACTCCGTCTCTCCGCCTCTATTATGCGCATTTTCCTTGCCTTTCTGTTTCTGTGCCTTCCCGCTATCTTTCTCTCCCTCCTGTCCTGCCCGCACAATATTTGTATGCGGCTCCTCTCTACAACAGCTCATTAATTCATACTCTCCTCCACCCTCCTTCACCCACCCCCTCTTTCAGGAGCCACACAATAAATGCAGGGAAGAGGGCACAGACTGAGGTGACTTGCGCCGAGCATATAAAGGAGCTTTGGTTAAATAAAAGTCGAAATGTCTGTTAAATACACGTACCCTGGCACTGAGTGCTGTCTGCGGAGGGTTCAAAGCCGGCGTTGCAGGTGCACGAGCCCACGGGAACCATCCACTCGCCGTCCCCGTTGCAGTACAGCTTCAGCGGCACGGACAGCTCCATGGCGTTGTTCACGCAGGCCCCCGGGGCGATCACCAAGGAGGTGGCTTCTGCTCCCGTAGCGGTCTCGGGGAAGACGGCAAAGTTGGCAATGGTGGTGGAGCACTTCTTGAAGAAAACCCTGACTGAGATTAGAGACATGCAGGCTCCCAGGTCCTGGAAGGCCAGGTAGAAGCCTGCCTTGGAGAGGGGGCCAAAGCTGCGCACTTTGGTGTTGATCCTTCCCGCTTCCAGCAGAGAGAAACTCTCATCTGGGGCAATAGTATCCACCTTCACGTAGGGGTTCTCCCTCCACAGAGGGCTGGTGTCCGTGGCCATGTCCCCATCCGACTCATAGTAAAACAGATTAAAGGTCTCTTTGCAGGAGCCTGGGATGTTGGGGATGCTTGCACAATCGCGGACGGAGAACTTGAGCTCCACGTAGACGCGAAGCACGCCCTTGCGGGGTATATAGTCCGTCCTCAGCCAGTTGTTCTGGCTGGGCTGTTTGACATTGCACACCTGGTAGGTTCTGATTGGGCTCATGGAGTCATCGTATCCGCTGACCTCCTCCCACTGTGGAGACAACACGGAGACACTGCGATGAGGGGAGGTAATGACTGTAAATACTGTGCAGAAAGGAGCGGAACGGCTTTAAGAATTAAATGAGGAGAAAAAAATCCCCGTGATTATCTAATGCTTTCTCTCAACGCAAAAACAGTTCCATTTCTCGCTCAGCACCGACCGAGCTGCTGCAGAAGCTCAATTTTTAATACGCTGATAATTAATATTAAATAGTGTTAAATGCGGTGCATCCTAATGCAAACTGTTCACCCATAGAGAATGTTGAAAACAGCTAAGTGATGTCTGGCATAAACATGGTTGCACGAATATACAACACGCGCACACCAACACACACAGCGTCCGTGTGCGCGTGCACGTGGCCCGTGCAGAATAATTTGCAGCTAAAAAGCTTCTAATTGCATGAATCATTCAGAAAATTCTACTTATTATGGACTTTCAATAGAAAACATTTTCCCATTAAAACAAATTTCACACATTATGGCTGTTTGACGAGTTCTGATACCGATCGCGTGTCGCAGCTCAGATCATCAGCAGCAAATCAGTCACTTGCGGGGCTCCGTCAAAGCTCAACTTCAGTAGCTATTAAACAAGGTGCAGACACACCTATAGAAGGCAGCGCTCGCATCGATGTCTGTCGCGCTGCAATCGAAACAGCCCCGAAGGAAGACTCGGTTTCTGTAACAACCCCACCACCACCTTTCCTCCATATATGTATAATGCAAACAGTGAGTTATTTATTAAAACGGCCATCTAAATGCAATGCTTTCAGTGTGATTGCACTATGGCAGCACTCTGGAGCATTTCAGGTTACATGGACTCTTATATATATCCTCTTATGCCTACACACACAACACAGGAGCACATATTTGCATCTGCTTCGGTTTGTGTCCCTGCGAGTCTGATGTCTTGCTGTAGAAATAGTGATTTAGGGGCCCGGTGCGACACGGGCACCATCTATGGCTTTATGTGTTGTTAACAGTTGCGTCTCTATATGGTAACTAACATTAGCAGCTATGATAAATGTATCGGTGGGTCAATAAATTTAGTCCATTAGGAAATAACCTTGTGAGAAGTCAATTGTTTTGATTCCCCACCGCCGCCGCCGCCGCCCCGCCCTCTAATTCCACGTCGGACTGAATGCTTCGTTTCCATAACAAATGAGCGCTCCAGAAATTGATTATTTCAACCGGAGGAAAATAATGCATAACTCATCTCACGTCTCTGAGCTCCCCGCGTGCAATTTATCCCCAAACGATGAGCCCAAGAGTCAGCATTAGGCGTCGTAAATCACCGGCAACCCCGCTGATGCACTACCTGACAAATATGATAATTGCCGGGCCTCCTTGAACGTATGGGCTTGTCAGGCGCGAGGAGAGGGGCTGCCTCGCCAGTCGTGACATATGACTTCATGGATGCTGGGACATTTCAGAGCCGGCCCTTGTTTGGTGGTGGGGGGGGGAAGAAGGGAGCAGGGGCTGCCGGAGATCGTTTCCATGGAAACCCACCATTTCCATTGACTGACTTTGCGCTCATGTAGCGAAGACAAATTACACTGGCCGAGTGTGGGGGAGGTCTGTCAGGCTGTTAGCCCTGGGGTCAAATTCATGTTGTTTTATTTTCTCACAATTCCTATAGGGGGTATCAGCTGAAAACCTTAATTTCTGTCTGTAATGCGCTCTTGGGCCCACATTATAAAAGACACATGCTTTCAGTTATCAGGCTACTCTATCCTAGGGAGACATTCAAGGTAAAGTCTAGCTAATAGTCCTTAAACGTGGCGGGGATTTGACTCCTGTTTGTGTGCGCTTGCTCATTAGTATGTTTAAAGTGCACAAAAAGCACAAAAAAGATATTCCTTTGCTGATCTTTTCACGTGGTCTGAAAACTGAAAATCTTTGATATCCTCCACACAATGTCTCACAGTGTGCTTCTCATTTGCTTTATAGAATCCGAGAAAGCAAACATACACTGCAAAAACAAAGCCATAAAGCAGCAGGAGGTGTGCTGTTCAAGCAGACTGGGCTCTATTAACAAGCAAATGGAACAAATGCTGTTAAAGAGCGAGGAGGAAAAAAACACAACTAAGCTAAACACATGCGCAAACTCACCCCACTCTCTGGGAATGTGGTCCAAGCCAGCTCTGTGGTAGCCCACCGACTGTCCATAAGGGTTTCTGCAAATTAAGAGTAGGAGTAAGGTTCACAAACTGGGAATTCAATGGTGTGAGGAAGGATAAAAAACCAAAAAGTGTTGCAACACTTTAAAGACCACACACACAGACACACACACACACAGTTCTCTGTTCTCCAGAAACAGATGCAGGTAAAAATGACACACACACCCCTCGCTCCATAACCTCCACCCACATGCGTTCAGGTTTTTGAAAGCTCTGACAATTGTGGCATATCTGTGCTGCTGCCTAATTAAGGCTTTCTCTGCGTTTGGCACCCACAGATGCACTTCTTTCAAATATTCACTTGTGGACTAAAAGAACAAAGCCTGTTCAGGGTTTTCTTCAGAGGGGAAATATCCCAGGGGAATTGAAGGGGGGGTCACATGAGCAGGAATATATTGTTCTCTGAGGCAAAAACACAAAAAACTGTGACCTCTCTCAGGTGAGCAGATGCTTACGTCACCTGGCTGTTTACAACTTTGCGAAGAGGTGAGAGCCGAGTCGACAATCTT